TCAGGACCTTGTGCTTGCCAGGCAAACACTTATTTTTTTGAGATGGGTTGTGGCTCTGTAGCCCAGGCTAGCCATGGACTCAGAGTGATCCTCCTGCCTCAGCCTTGTACCACATATGAGCTTGGCCTCATTGTGGTTTCCATTCACATTCCTCCAGATAGTGATGATGTTCACAGGCTTGTTAGTCAGTTATGTATCTTTAGGAAAAAGATTTTTCAGTTTGGGTGTTGAGTTGTCAACACCCAAGCACAAGGTCTTGAGTTCAATCCTCGACACCACAAAAAAAATTTAAAAAATAAAAATAAAATAAAAATATATCCTCCTTATGTATTCTGGGCCCTAAACCCTTCCTACATATAGGATTTGCAAGTATTTTCTCCCACTCACAGGTTCCCTTCACTTTTTCAACAATGTTCTCTGAAGTACAATTTTTAATTTTAGCAAAGTCAAAATTTGTCCCATTTTTCTCCCAGCCGCTCTTGCTTTCAGTGCCCACTCTAACATGGCAATGTACTACTCGGGCTTGTCAAATTAGCCCACTTGTTCACCTGGAGTTCGATTTGCATATGGGCTGACATGTGGGTCCACACTATGGTACAGACCTAAACCATTGCCTCAGCACTGTTTATTGAGACATTTTGTCCCCACCAAGTGCTTTTGTCCCTGCTGTTGAAACTCAGGTGGCTCCAGAGGTTGGGGCACATTCCAGGTACTCAGTTCTCTGCTGGGTGCCAGTCCTGTCTGGTTTTGAACACCACAACTGTACAGGATGTTCTGAAGTTGGCAAGTGTGCATCTCCAGGTCTGCTTTTTCAATACTGCTTTGCAAGGCAGGTGTGCTGATGCACACTGTAATCTCAGCACTTGAGAGGCCACGGCAGGAGGATCACCATTAGTTCCAGGCCAGTCTGGGCAACATAATGAGTTCAAGGCACAGGCTGAACCAAACCAAAAAAGCCTCTGTCAACCAAGCCAGGCTCTGAGAGCTGTTTCCTGAGGAGTTCATTTTATTTGAGTATTTGGCTAAGGGTGGAGAATTTTTAAAATACATTTCCAGCAAGACTGTGGTGGATCACAGAATAACCCAGAGCCTTGGGTTCTAACCCCCAGGAGCCTGTGATGTTAGCCTTCTTTGGAAAGAGCTGCAGGTGTGCAGGGGAGTTGCAGGCTACCTGGATGGCCCTCATGTTTTGCTGTCTCTCTGCCAGCCACAGGGCTGTCTCTATGAGACTGCTTGGGCCTCCCTGAGGGAAATGGAGGGCCACACAGGTCTGGGGTGGAGGGGCAAGATTCAGGTGCTGGCAAGATTGACTCTTCCCAAGGCTTCGAGGGAGAAACTGCTTGAGACCTTCCCAACCCTCAGTTGCCGCTCTGTGTGTTGTTGGCTAGTCGAATGTTCCCTGACCCCTGAGTGTTCCCTGACCCCTTTTGTTACCACACAGCACCTCCTTCTTCACTCATCTGTATCAAACCTTTTTTGTTTTTGAGACACAATCCCACCATGTAGTTCAGGCCAGCCTCCAGCTCATAATGGTCTTCCTGCCTCAGCCTCCTACATGCTGGGATCACATGTGTGGGCCATCAAGCTTGGCCTTTTTTATTTGTAAACTACTTTTCATGAGGCAACCCTCCACTCCCAAGCATATAAGGGCTCCTTCTGCAGAGCAGCCTTCCAGGATCAGGGTTCAGGAGACTATGCTTTGCATCCTGAACCCCATTTGATTTAGACTTGAATCCCAGCCTGGCCACAGGTCCATGGGGAGCTCTTGGGGAAAGTTGCCCCAAATCCTAAGTTTTCAAAGCACAGACAAACTACTGCGGTATTTGCAACCAGACTGGGCTGGCTGAGGATCTGAGACACCAGCACACAGGATCAGTAGAGGGGCAGCCCTCCTATCTCTTCCAGTTCATTACCTCCTGGTGGTAGTTCTCTGTGGCATCCTCCATGTGTAATATGGGTCCCCTGTGGCACCTGGAAGCACACCAGCCTCTGTGGGCAGCTTCCATTGAGGATGAGCTGAAAAACAGCCTGGGTCCATGGCCAAAGCCAAGGTGGCGCAAGCTTTTCTGTTCTCATGAGGATTAAGAAGCCGGACCTGTGGCCCAGAGCGTCTCAAGCAGTTGTGGCAGACAAAGCTCCTCAGAAGCATGATTTAAAATGCGAGTGTACTACGTGACTGCTTCCCTCTGTGTGGAGCTCCTCCCCAGCATCAGCACTGGCACTGGCACCAGCATGGGCACCAGCACTGTCCGCCACAACAAAGGGACTCCCGGGTAGCCCACGGTGGGACAGTAGCAAAGGACTCTGTGGCTGAGCTGCCACCCCGCGTGGCCTCCTTCCTGGGGCTTTGCAGGTTTTCTGGAGCTAATAAGCACCACTATGGGTGCTCCACTCCTCATGACTTTGTTCTGTAAGGCGGTGAAAACTCCACAGAAAAGGACTCCCTGGTAGGGAGGTTTGTGTCTCCTTTTGGGGAACAGATCTGTCAACAGCAGAACCTTCAGGCTCTTCTCCCTTGCTGTTCTTGCATCTTCAGCACAGGCTGCTACCTTCTCTACCTCAAGACCCAAAGAGGCTGCTTGAGCACCAGCCCCTTTTACATACTAGTAAGCACACAGGGTGGGATGAAGCCAGTGGCCTCCTCTTTCTGGACATTCCTGAGTCACATGCAGTTCTTCCACATTCATTCCTCTGGCTGACCTGGATGCCAGCTCAACTGGAAAAGTCTCGGGGCTCAGGGCAGGCCACAGCCACAAGGCCTCTGTCAAGACACCAGGGTCTCAACGTAGGGCAGTGATTCTAGTCCTGAGGAAGGGGAAGAAAGTACTGACACCTGTGGGGGACAATACCTGCATACCCCCAAGATGTCCACACATGGTGAGGGTGAGGCCAGAAACCCCCAGGCCAGCCCGTGTCAGTCACGTGGTGGTGGTGAGTGGGGCAGGCACAGCCAGTGAGAGCTGTCCCTGCAGTCAGTCCCAGCACTGCCAAATGAGCAAATACATACATAAAATTGTATAAACTTCAAAAGAGGGCTGGGCATGTGGCTCAGCAGTAGCATGCTTGCCTAGCATATGTAAGGCCTTGAATTCGGTGCCCAGCACACCACAAAGCACACACAAAACACAGACATGGTCAGATGGACAACTTTATATTCCATATATTTTACAATTTTTTAAAAAGCCACAGAAACCCAGGGCTTTCAAGTGCTATGAGGCAGGCAGGTGGCGGTGGGACTGAGACTGGACAGACTCCAGGCTCTGCATGGGAGGGGTTGGCACTCCTGGTGAAGTCAGTGCTGTCCCAAAGCCTGGAGGGGGAAGTCACACCAGGGCAAAGCTTCTCCTGCAGGGTCTTGTGGCCCTGGCCAGCTGGCACACTGGAGGGAAGCACTCACACAGGGTGTGCCCATCCTGGTGTAGACTCACATGGGCCTGGGGCATGGAGTTGTACAGTCCACAACCTGCCTGCCCAGCCATGGCAGCCTGACTGCAGATGAAGGTGACTGCACAGGTCCTCCCCTACCCTCTGCAGCCACTTCTGAGGTAACACCACTTGGGTGTGTTATGGAGACAGGAAATGCTGTCCCTGTTGAGGAGTCCCAGCCAGCCCACAATACAGGCTGTAACAGGCTTAAAGGCGATACTTTTGTAACCATCAGAGGCTTGCCAGCTTGCAGTCGTGGTCTCCAGGCATCTTAGCTATGGCTAGAACTGTGCCCAGCTGATTCTGCTCCAGGGTGGGTACGGGTCCTCCTTGGATACTAGGAGTTGGTTGATTCTGGCCTCTGATGGAGCAGAAGTGGTAGGAAGCCTCTACAAGGCTCAGTGGAAAGTCATTCCCCCTGTGGCCAGGTGCTGCTGGCAGCTGCAGAGATGAGACATCAGCTTCACCTAAGTGGTCCCAAGCATGAGGCACAGGGGACTGGAAATGCAGCAGGCTTGACCTGAGCCTCCAGGAAACCATACCATGGGGGCTGGAGAGGGGGGCAGACAACTGCACAGCAATAGACAGAGGGCCAGTGCCAGCAGGAGCAGTGGCCAGGCAGGGGCAGAGGATGCCCTGAGCAAGGAGGTGCAGCAGTGGGGAAAGCAACCAAGTCCCTGGGACTTGTACTGAGCAGCACAGTGGGGAGAGCAGTGAAGGCTACAGGGAACCTCAGCGAGCCCAGGGATGGGCAGGGAGCACACAGCGGACCCCACTGGCCCAGAACATATGGCAGCAGAATCTTAAGCTTGTAGCTTTGAAGCCAGACATGGTGGTGCACACCTGTGATCCCAGCACTCAGGAGGCTGAGGCAGGAGATTTGCAGAGTTCAAAGCTAGCCTGAGCTATACCACGAGCCCAAGCCCAAGCTAAAACTACATAGTGAAACCCTGTCTCAAACAAAACAAGTAGGTAAGATAACTGTACCACTAATTTCTATTAGTTCATTGAAAGGAACAATTAGTGCTTATATTGTTTGATCAATTTTGCATGCCCATATCTGGTGATCCGAACAACTACTTTGAAGATAATGATATTCAACATAATAACCAGTGTTAATTTGCTAACAAAACAAACAAATGGCTGTTGGAACTGAATAGAGGAGGCAGAAATACCCCCAACTATAGGCAACTATCTAATCTTTCACAAAGGGGCCAAAAACACACACTGGAAGAAAGCCTCTTAACAGTAACAAAAGAACTTGTCTGTCCACACACAGATTAAATCTAGACCCGTATCTCTCACTGTGTACTAAAACTAAAGTCAAAATGGTGTAAAGATCTAAATGTGAAGCTAGCATTACTTAACATAATGACAGACAACATAGATAAAACTCTTGAAGCCATGGGCACGGGCAAGGGCTTCCTGGACAGAAACTGTTAGAACACTTCTGAGAATCAGCACATGG